TGCCCTGCTGCATTAACTGGAGGTTACCATTTCCCCAAACCCCACACTGTATCTGTGATTGCTCTCAGCCCTTTTTTAAAATGGTTAGAGTAATTAAATACCTCCAAATATTTGTGTTTCTAACCTAACCTGCTTTGATAAATAGTGAACTGGGGTGTGGCCACATAAATTGGTATATTGATAAACCTGAGAGGAATCTCTAGCTTCACCTAGTTCTGTGGTACATGGAGCAACACACGAGAACTTTGTTAAAGCCTTCTGAAAAGCAGTCAAGTCTACTTTTATCTGTTTGATATATACCCCAATGTAAAAAACACTTCAGAGTGCTACTCTTTTTTCATTTTTTAGCTACTTCATTCTAGAAGTGCTTAGACATACTAACAATAAATGTGGAAGGCAATGTATTCTAAGTCAGTCTCCTACATTCATAAAATAAATACTAACATCACACTGGAAAAATGAGTGTATACTTATGGGCATGTGTTTGTGGGTGCTTTTGGAAAGGGCTGACATAGAACTAAAGACGGAGTTCTGAAGATAGGGCTATGAAAGTAGAATTACTCAGCAGAAAGTTTAAGATGATAGAATCACTTCTCTGGAATTCTTGTCTAACTGAAATCAGCCTCTTTCCCTGCCTGAACAGATTAAGTCAAGGTTGACTACTTTTAATACTACTTTATCTCAAAAGGTGGTGTCTTTCTTGGCCCAGGTGTTGCATGCACGGAGATCAGAAAATAAGAGTTTAGACAAAGGAGAGAAAAAACATTGTAATAATATTGTTGCTTGTGTCAATTTAGTGTCCGGGTTAGATTCTGTTTAGAATGCCTCACGGCTGGAGGTGTTACTGAACCTGAGACAAATGAAGGTCTCTGCTCTTGCTTCAGCAAGTCATGCAAAATAATGACCTTGTATGTAATAGGCCATAAGCTGCCTCAAGGAGGCTGTGGAGTCTCCATCCTTGAAGATATCCAAAACCCAATAGGACACAGCTCTACGCAACCTGCGGTACCTGACCCTGCTTGGAACAGAGGGTTGGAGTAGACAATCTGCAGAGGTCCCTTCCCACTTCAATCATTCTATCACCTTAAAAGTTCTGTGATTCTGTGATGTTAAATGTTAACAACTCATGGGTTGATTATACCATGAAAGTGTCCAAAATAGTCCAAGTTCTCTGATGTAGCTGGTGTTAGCCCACTTCTGCTGGAAACTTCATTTGTCTGATTCAGGATCAATAACTAGGAAAAATTAATAGGGGAAAATATTAGATATCTAAATTCAACTGCCTAATACATGTGTAGGACTGATTTCACTTATATTGATTTGTGTAGTACAAAAGTTGGCATTGTTTTCTGTCTTGTAGTAAAGTAGTGCTAGCTACTCGATGTCTGTTTTCTGCACTTCCCCACAGTATTTGTGCAGAGCATTACTGAATGAAAGTTCAAGAGGTTTTAAGTGTGGCTGTAGTGGTTTGAGGTGGTAGAGATGTCCCTGAAACAATGGTAGAAGGAGCTTTGCTGAGTACTATGACATGTTCCAGAAGTTTAATAGCTTGGAAAACACCATGATAGTAGTGTGGTGAATGTGAACTTTTTTCTTATTCAGACATAAAACATAAAGCTGTTCTGAAACTTACTTTAAATGGTCTATGGTTGTTCTTTTATACCAATTGAACTGCAGGTTTCTTTTCAAAGGTAACGGTTGTAGTTTATTTTTGCTTACAAATAACAATTCTGAAGTAACAGAAACTTCTATCAGACATTGATAATGATAATAAAATAATTACCAGACTCCAGAGTGTCTATGTTTGAAGGAGTGGAACTAACTAGAAGTGTGTTGACTGCTTTGTTCATATACCCATAACCCCTTACCATCACCATTTGGAATTATTTGCCTACAGCCACATACTTGTTTGCAAGGAACTGATGACAATAATGTCTCTTTTGACAGTTCCAAGGCTTTCAGGGTGGATCTGTATTGCAAGTGTCATCCCTTGGACATGAAAGGTGATGTAGGGCTACATTACACATTGATCTGTGCACTTCCTAAATGTTATCAGAGAAAAGTGTTATAGAATAGAGTGTTACAGTTGCATTCCCTAATTACTTATACATGGAAACAGTTGTGAAGTTAAGCTATAAACTAATTTCCATGACAACCAAAAATACCGTCAAAATATGGCTTCTTCTAGCATGGCCTACATCTGTGGTACAGAAGTTTTCACCACACACTGGAAAAGAGAATTTTTTCCTTTGAAAACCTCAAGATTAGCATTTCTTTTGTTAGCGTCAGAACTTTTCAGACAAGAGGCATCTTTTCAACACCAGCAGGTCAGGTATGACGGAAAAAGACAACAGCTGAAAAAAGAAGAAACTACCAGGCAATTCCTGTGCTTTTAACTGAAAGCTGTAGCAGAAGGCCAGCCATCGTGAACGGGAATTCTGTTACGGAGAAAGTGTCACACAGACACAGGAGGGATGAGTATATGGGTAGTAGAAAAACAGCTTGCTGCTATTCTCACGTCCCAGTGCATTTCACCTACAACCTGCCAATGTCCAGAGATCTGATAGGACTTGCAGTGACAGAAAGGGAACAGACACAATTCTGTATTGACACAGAAAATACTGAGGGAGTGAAGAAATATACCAACTGAACTGTTTTACAGATCAGCAACTTTGCTGAGTGATTTCATCCTGAGGTGCAATGTTTCCATTGAACCTGAGTTTTGGTTCAGTTGAGGAAAAAAGGCATCTGCAAATAAGTTATTAGCTCTACCAGTTCCTTCTCTTGCTATCTTGATGCTAAAACTTCGCATTTCCTTCACACTGCTCATTAGTTCTAGATAACTATAAATTAAATGTCAACAGGATTGCTTCTTCCCTTCCCATAAAGCTGGGGAAAATTACCTCTTCAAGTCTACTGGACTTTCCCTCTGCCTGTCACCAGGCTTCTATTGCTCTCACAGAACTGTTGTTGCTGTCTTCTAGCTGAAAGCTTAAAGAAACCAGAGAGACTGTGCAAATAAGGTTGGGACAGTTCTAGAACTGAACTTAAGCATACGAAGGGAAAGAACCAGCAAAGGGGGCCTGAGGAAACGATAGAATTTGTGTTTGCAGAGATATTCTGAACTTGACAAGGTCTCCAGCTGTCTGCTTTAACTGAGCAAAAGGTTTCACTTGGTGACCTCCTGAGATTCCTCTCAAACTGAATTATCCTGCAAGTATAAAAGTAGACGGACAAGACTACATAGGAATGTAATAGAAAGAGGAGAAAGGTAGCCATAGAACTAATCAAAACTTGTAATTCTCCCTACCCAAGTTATTCTGGTTTGGAATTAGATGTGGGATTAATCCAATGTGTTTGGGTGGCATAGGAATAAATCACTGCAGTTGCGTGCAGTTCTCCTGTCAATGATATTTTATCTGTATTAATGGAGGCCTAGCTCTCTTTTCTCTTTCTGAACAGATGGACCACAGTGTAGCTGTAGGGGGTTGCTCTCATCATTCATAAATGATTAAGGACACATGGGAAAAATGCTGGAAAACAGGTGGAAAAAGAAATAGGGAAAACTTAAGTTATAGAGTAATACTGAGCTGTTTCTATGTTAATACCTAGGCAATAGTCTGTGTAAAGTGGGATGAAATCTGTGATTAACACAGGCATCTCCTCCTGAAGTGCATGTTTCCAGTCTTTCCAAGTGGAACTATACCACCTTGTATAAACTACTTAAATATATACAAGTAGTATGTAAACAAGTGGGTGTGACTCCCTAGTTTTGTGGTTTAGATGTAATTGGGAGCAAACCCAGCTGGGTTCCTGCCCTGGTGGATTATCAGTACAAATTAATTAATATAAGCCCAACAAAGCTGTTGAAACAGTATCAACAGGAGAATCTAAACTCTTCTACTCCAGAGATACTGTAGTTTGTTGTCAAAATAATGTTGTGGGAGAACAAGAGATGTGAGTTCAAACACCCTCAGGCTGAGAGGAAAAATGAGGCCTATGGCTGCTACATCCATGTGTGTATCCTAACCACTTAGCTCTTGGCTGAAAGGCAGGTAGCCGGCACCTTGGAAAACCTTTGATTTCAGTTCGGCTTCTTCTGCAGGTACTTGAGAGTGATTGCTTAGGCTGATAACCAGTCAATTACTTCTATTTTTCTCTTTGAAAATTTTAAAAAATGGTATTTGATGGCATTTGAACTTCAATTGAAGAACTGATTACACCACCTTGTGTTTCTCTCAGCAGCACTGCTTTGTCTTGCTGGTGATTTACTAGAGTAATGTAATGAGGAGACCTGATACAACAGCTTCCTTGCATCTGGAGAATGGGAGAACGGTCGCGATGGAGAAAGATTGCAGAAGATTTCAGTCGAGGAGGGGAAACCGGAACCTAGCGAGGAGAAGACGAAGGCAAATTTGAAGAGGCTGGAATTATGCACCTGCACGACGGCCACTGCAGGGGTTTGCGAGCGGATGCTCTTCGCCGCTCACCGCACGCCAACTTGCCCGACGCGCCCAGATCTCCGGCTCGCCTTCCCGACGGCTGATGGCGAATCCCGGGCCCGTGATGAGCCGCTCCCGCCGGGGCGGGGGGCGCGGCGCCGCCGGGGAGCCAATGGGGACCCGCGGCCGCGCTGCTCCGCCCGCCCCGTCGGCGAGGCGGGCGCTGGCGGCGGGGGCTGCCGGGGCGCCGGGGGCGGCGGGGCGGCGCGGCGGGCACCGGGCGCGGGCACAGCTGCGGGCACCAGCTACGCCGGTGTCGCCGCTGCCGCCGCCACCGCCACCACCGGGCGGATCCCGCGCTTCTGCCGGAGCTTCTTTCGGTCGCTTTACTTTGGCGGCCCGGAGCAGGGACATTATGCCGAAGAGAAAGGTGAGGCGCCCCGGGCGTGCGGCGGGTCCTGCCTCCCCCCGGGCGGGGTCGGGGGCCCGAGCGGCGGCCGGCGGGCCAAACGCGCATCAGGGACCGGGAGCGCCCGCCGCTCTCCCGCCGCCGCTCCGTGCCGGAGCTCGCGGATGGCTCCCGAGCCCGGGCATTTTGCTGCCTGTTGCAAGCCCCCTCCACTCCGCCCCGCCGCTCCCCGCCGCCTGTTTACTTTCCCGGTGCCGCGCGGGGCGGTGTCGCCCCCTCCCCGGGGGGTAAAGTCGCGATCACAACTCCAGCCCCCACCTCCCTCCTCTCTTCCTCCTCCCCCGCCGGGGAGAAGCGCCGCAGCAGCTGCGGCTTCGCCCGTGGCCCCCGGCGGGAGGAGTTTCCTGCTCCCAAACTCTGGCGTCGCGGCGGGGAGGGGGCTGCCCCCACCCGGAGCTGCCGGATCCCGCCGCCGCTGCTTCCCGCCGCGCCGGAGTGATGGCTCCGAGGTAAAAAGGAGGAGGGGAGAGGCAAGCCATGTTTAAAACAAACTACACCCTTCTCCTCGCCTCCCGCGGCAGACCCGTATGTACCAACTCCAGCGCCCATCCGGGCAGGGCCCCCGGGGGCGGGGGGCGGCGCCTCCCGAGGGAGCGCCCGCGGCCCCCGCCGCGCCGGGGGAGCCATGGCGGGGTGCGGGGCCCCGCCGCCGTCCGGGCACCTCGGGGCGGGCAGCCTCGTCGGCAGGGAGCCGGCTATGAGACCGCCTTCCCCAGGGGAGAGAAACTTGGGCGGCCCCTCGGCGGCCGGGCTCGGTGGCGTGGGGGTTTTTCTATCCTTCCCGTGCCTGCTGGAGCCCGAAGCCTTGGCGGCGCGGCCGCCGGGAGCGCTCCGGCGCTGGCAGGAGGCGGGCTGAGCCTGGACGGTGGCAGCCGGCCCCCTGCCGCCCCTGCAGGGCCCCGGGGGTGGGCGGCCGAGGGAGGCCCTGCTGCCGGAGATCCTCGCAGAGGACTTACTGCCTGCCTTCTGCAGGCGCTAAGAGTGTAACGAGAGACTTGACACTAATGCATGCTACGACAAAAAACGATAGCTGCAGTCCTTTAATTTTAACTAGGTCAACCAAAGCAAAGCAATTTTTGTTTTTCCCAAATGTCACCTGTGACCTCCTAATACGTTATATGTGGGCTGGGGCTCAAATCTGTTTTAATAAAGGTACAGGTAGATGATGCCCTCTAGGTAACTCAGTGTTTACTTTTTATGCTGTGCTTATTGGTTATCAGAGGTATCCAAATGTCAACTTATCAAGTATGCAACTGAATTATTTAATTCATAGTTGAGGACCTAATTCTCGTTCTGAAAATGGTTACAACCATGGGGTTGACTGCCCTTATTGGAATGACTGGGTTTGAAGTCAAAACTGGCGGTTTTTCCTCCTGCTCTACTGTTACTTCACCATTGTGTGCTTCCATACTTTTATTGCCATTGCTTGTCATCAGGAATAAGTTGAAAATTAGCTTGTGTCAGTAGGACTCTCCACAACTTTTGAAACCTTAACTTCCTACCTTGTTTCCTTTGCCCTTTTGCATTCTTACACTACAGATGTTTCAGGCTGTCCTTCCTAAGTGGGGGGTAGAGTTAAAGACACTCCTGTAGGTTTTTGTGGTCTGTTGTGAAATGTTTAGTAAGAGAAACCGTCTTTGAGTAGGAAGTCCAGGAGAACACACCTCCTTTCTAGAAGACCACAACAAAAGTAATAAAATCATTGCATATGGGATCAGAACAATAGAAACTAATTTCAGTGGTGCAGTAAATTTTATTTTGCATAGTATTGTGGGTAAACATTTACATTTTCAGGTTATGTATGAAGTGGGTTCCAGGCAAAGTGTACGATTAGTGGTTTTACTTTTTCAGAAAAGTAGAATTGCCATAAGTATTTTACAATAGTCAATTTTATTTCAGAATAACATCTACAGAGTGAGAAGTTCATGATACAACAGTAGCTGAATAGTTACATCAGTCAGCCTTCCACACAGAGGACAAACCCATCACATGCAGCTAACAGACAATTTTTCTATTAAAACACTCTAACTTAAAACAAGGCTTGTAGCACTGAAAATTTTATAAGGAAATAAACATCAAAAGTCAAAATGAGAAATTTTCACAGTTGTGGGGGTAAATAAATAATATTGCAAAAAGGGTTTAAATCCACTTGTATCTATTTTTGTGTATCCTTAGTTATCTAAACTGGCTGGTTCTTTTTTGTTTGCTTTTCATCTCTGATGTTTTTCATCTCTGTGTAAACTCAAGTCAGTGGCCGAGTCCCTGGCCTTATGTTCATTGTGAATATTATGAAGAAAATAATGTGGTCTATCTCCCTCCATTTCTCTGGAGGGCTGTGGCCTAGGCTATTGGGGTATCATTGCTTGTTGCTTGAGGGTCATAGAGGAAAGAAAAAACTTAACTGTGTATTGAGGTGGTGTTAAACACTGTGCTGAAGCAAAAAGGTGTTGAACTCTGGGCTGCTCCTGTCAGATCTCTGTACCCTTCATCTGTGGTAATAACATGTTGTGGTGTGCACGTGGCCTTTCACAAGAAGAATGGCATGCCAGTGCGGGTTAAACCAGAAGTCTTGTTGTGGTATTGATAGCAACGAATGCCTTGAAATGGGTTGGGATGTTTTGTTTTGTCACTTGTCTTTCTGGAATTAGCTCTTGGATCATGGTGAAAAACTCCTTGACCTTGAAACAGCCCCAGTAAAAATATCCCAGTGTTATCCATAAAAGGATGAAGAACCATTCTGTACCTGATGACAGGGAGAATCATGGTATGGTCACATACACCCATGTGCATAAGCATCCATCAAGCTGAACAGCACTTGGCCTCTTGAAGTAAAATGTGCACCATCTCTGAGGGATGTTAGTAGGTCAAGTGGTGACTTGTCCAGTATTGGATGGGCAGCCTGTCACTTAGTTGGCATTGCATTTCAAAATGACCCAGTTTTATTCTGAACATCTGAATCTATGCAACACCGCCTGCACGTCACTTGTTTTGAAAATGCTTGGAGAGGAATCAGATGTGAGGAGTAAATGCAACTTCTTAAACCATCTCTTTTTTTTCTTTTTAGTGTGATATCTTTGAATATTGCCATTGTTTCAGAGCAAGTAAAAAAATAGTGTTCTAATTAGCCATTTCAGTAGGTTATTAGGTAGCTCCAGGTAGTTAGCAATGTCGTTTGGAGTATAGTTGATACTATGAAGATACAATAGAGAACATCTGTGGCAGGTTCCTGTTCCATTATGCAAATTCACTTTCTTTACAGTCAGAGGTACTAGTTGGTTCTATTTACTGCAGAAAAAACCCCGCTGAATATTTTGCTTGTAATGCTGCTTCTTTAGCAGAAGTTAGAAGGTGCCTTATTCAATGGTTGTCCTGTCATAGTGCATTTATAGTTACCTGATCACATGATGGGGTTTTTGTGAGACTCTTGTTAATTGTTTTGCCAACCAGGTATCTAGTCAGTGTATTTTCTAATCTTTGGGTTTAAGTGAATGTTCTTATATGTACTAACTGAGAGCTGTTAAATTCCACTTACACTTTTTTTTTTGTCTAGACCTAAACTGAGTTCTCTTTGTAAAATTCCTCTGCATATTTGAGTTTGTATTTCTGAATTGTCATGAATATTCAAAGAGAAATGGTGTTCCTTATCCACTAGTAGGGGAAATGGGGCACAGAAGTAAATTGCTGAGTTGTTGGAATGGTCCCTTTATCTTGGATTCTCAAGTTAAGATGACTGTCCTGATGTTTTATTCCCCCTAATAAGCACCACCTGCTCTTTTTGATGGTGCATTTGTTGTTACTTCACCAAATTTGTCTTCTTCCTTAGTGGTGTGTACATAGAAACTGAGGAACTTGCAGTAATAACCAGTTCTCTCAAATTTTTGTTGGAGCAACTTGTATGTGATCAAACAATTAACTAATGAAGCTGAGGTCCTGCAGGTGACAGCTCTTTTTGCTGCAGCTCTGAATGATCCTGCTGTTGCTCTTTGGTCTGTGGAATGAAGTCTAGATCTTCTGCAAAGAGTAGCAGGTGAGTTTGTGTTCATGATGCAGCAGTGTGAAGTATACCTGAGTGCCGTTCAGCTCCATTTCATGTCCCTTTCCATGTTTTGATACTTCTGCTGTGATTCAGTCCATGTCAATTCAACGTACTGTATGTAACATAGTGGTTTTTCTTCTAAGGTTCTGTTAATGTTGAAGCTATTTGGCAGAAAAGAAGCTCCAGTGATGCTATGGGGGCCCACACTTTCCTAATAAGTTGTTTTATCACTGAGGTTGGAAGCTCTCTTTAGTTTATCCTAGAACACAGTAAGGCACACTCTGTTAGCAGTGAGACTTAGAAATGGGGAAGGTTCTGATTTCATTTCACACTCTGTAGGTGATTATGGAATAGAAAGGAAAAAGGAGGCAGTACCAGATCCAGATGTCTTGTCTACTTTCTTCTCCCCACTCCTGTTTTGTCCCATGTCTTTCTCCAGACTTTCACTTGAACTCCCACTGCGTTTCATGCTGTTTCCTCCTTTCTCCCTGTCCACGAGAACTAAAAGCAAAAGTCAGAGCTCTGAAAAAGTAGTTTCTCTTTCCACTTTTTTAGACCACTCCTAGGCTACTCAGTAACTACTGGAAAAGAGGCTAGGCAACAACAGAAGATGATGACCTTCGTTACATCTATCACTGATACCACTGACTTTGACAAACTTCTGTGTAACAGGTCAGCAGAGTCCTCAGGTGGACTTCTACCTTCAGCATCCTTTGCAGGGACAGGTAAAACAATTGCTCTGCAGAGATGCACTTAACATTCGAGCAAGGCAAAGAGAATAGATGTGCCAGAGCATCTTAAAAGATTGCAGAAGCCTCCTAATAGAAGGGAGAACAATGTTTTGTCTCTTAGAATTTTAGAAATTGTACCATTTGTACTGGATTTTTAACTATTGAGAATTTTAAACCTTGATGTGTTTAAAAGCAATTGAAAACTGCTTAGTTGCCCTGCTCCAAGAAGGTCAAGTCAGTTGACCAGACTGACTCAAAGGATCTACATCTTTCATAGAAAAATTAAGCAGAAAAAACTGCAAACATTTATCTGTGCATGGTATGCTTAGATACAATACAGTGTAGCAGTGTTGAGTGGCACTGAAGAAAAACCATGCTTGAGCAATGCTGCTGTGCCACATAGCAATAAATTATGTTTACAGGGCTATTAAATATATGCAGCAAATACTTGTCCATCTTTTATCTTAGAGCCACTTTAGCTTAGAAAGAGCTAATTGTATAATTTCAGCCGCTATTATTAATGTTGTTGTTGCTGTTATTTAGTTATGGAGATTAAAAGTTCATTGGCCAAGGGTTTAATGGTCTAAAACATTTCTGATAACTTAATGCAAGTCTGTAAAAATCTGATTCATTACGAATTGATGGCAATGTATATAAATTTTCTTCTTAGACCACACAGAAA